ATAATGTGATTTGAAGTCAGCTTTGACAATCAAGTGTGACAAATCCACAAGGATAATGTGATTTGAAGACCAATGACATCAAAACATATGCTTGAAGCACTGCTCGAACCTGTTTTCCTTTAGCAAGTTCCATGTTCAGTGTCACTCCTCAGGTGGTTCATCACAATCCTTGCCACCAGCTTTCTTATGCAACCCAGTCTTTTGGTATTTCCTGGTGGGCCGACCCTCATCATGGCAATCCTCTTTGAGGAATTCAAAAACTGCATAAAGCATAGCGGTGTCCAGCTTCACCATCAAGTCAGAAGCAGCCAGCCTTTTGGCTGGACACAGAATGGATACCTGTGTACCACCGATGTCCAAGGTCACCACCTTCTCAACCTTCTGCTTCTTCTTGGAGGCTCCATGTGGAGAATCTGGACATTCATCAAGCCACTCTTCTTCATCTGGTCCATCACTTGCAGCAAGACCAGCTTTCTGGTTCCTCTGCTGCTTGAGGTCTGTAATTCCCTGGCCACCAGCAAGCGATGCATTCTTTTGGCAATTGCCACAGATCAGCCTCAAGATCACTTGATTGGTGGCTGCAACCTTCAAGAACTCATGGCCCAGACCATCCTGAACAATCAAGCTATCTGGGATCGATTGCTTCTTCCCATTGTACTTCAAGCTCACAGTATGTGAGATCTCAACACCAGCAGCTTCCATGGCTGAATGTAGAGACAGCTGTAAAAATGCCACAGTCACAATGACTTGTCAAGAAACCTTACCACTTCAAACTAACCTGTGAGCTCTATTTCCAATCAGCCATGCAGCTACTGGACATGGCTAGCTATGCAGCTAATTGACATGGCCAGCCATGCGGCTAATTGACATGCAACTAGAGGATTTGGTTAGCCATGCAGCTATTGTACATGGTAAGCCATGCAGCTAATGGACACTGGGTGTCAAGCCACTATATTGTTCTGAATGAAAACTTGTCGACAAAATCTTGAATTTTTATTTCAAAAGGCACAATGCACAAGACAAGGAACCAACACATCTACCAAAAAATGTTTGCTTATAGGCTAAAAAATGTTGCTTGCTTGCTAGTAAAAATGTTGTTTAGGTTTGATGTGGTCTTCTAGGCTAACTAGTTATAATTTTGCTAACTTTTTAACTTAATTAACCTAATTATGTTAGTTATGTAACTTTTATAGAAAATTAGCAATTATGTTAACAAGTTAAGCAAAATATAATGTGTTAGAGTACAGTTAAGACCTTGTTAGTATACAGTTACCACATAGTTACTAAATGTAAGATAACAACATAACTAGTTATAAAACCACAGCCCATCTAAGTAGGGGGCTCCTCTCCGACCGATTCCACAATCTAATTCTAGCCCAAAACGCGCCGGGGACGTAGCTAGCACCCCCCGGGAGGACACGGCCCTGGGCCTACGCCCCTGGCCGGATTTACAGATAGATTTACAGATAGATTGATGTCACTGGGACGCCACAGTTCTTGGGAACAACAAGGCAAAATTATTTGTCTTTCTCTCTCTCTCTCTGATTCTCCACACCCACTGGGAAACTTTCCCAGTGGGTGTGGAGAACTGCCAAGGAAAGAACTGCAACAAGTATCAGGTTGGTTTCCCCACTGGGGCTGAACAGCATGACCCATGCGTGGCCGAAAGCGCAGCAAACTTTTGCGCAGGAGCGGAAGTGTTTCTGAATCTAGGACCACACCTTCTCTCGATCTGCTCGCCATTGCTTTCCTTCTACAGATTCCAGCCACTCATCTAATCTGGCATTCACCACACTAGGCGCCAATGCTTTCGAGTTTGCTTTCCTATCGTTGTGCATTGGTATCGGCGCCACTGTACCTGTCTGGGTCACCGAACGCACAGTTTTTTCCAGAACCTGGGGCAACCGAGCAGGCAAAGATTCAGCAACCTCTTGCCGACGTAGCGCCCGGAGCTGCGATAGAGA